GAGATAAGGAGATTCCAGGGCAGTGCTTGAGTAAGCCTGCATAAAGCTAACAAATGAATTCCTCACCACCTACTGAGAGCAGTAAGTCCCCCACCTCCTGCCACCTGGAATGGCTCTAGAAGTTTCTTGCCTCTAAAAACACCAGCCCCAAGATCAAGATGAGGCACAAGTCCCACCACTGGGCTTCCAGCCTCCAGTCCTAAGGAACCAAAAACATTAAGAGAGATAAAAACTTCAGTACAACTTACAAGAGTTTAGAGCCATGATTCACCAGTAACAAGGGCTCAAAAGCTGTAACTCAATGGTACGAAAATATTTTCTTCACTCCAGGCTGATTGGTGGCCCAGCAGGTGACACTGAGGTGTGATGGCATTTTATCTTCCCCAAAAGAGGAAGGTGATGGCTTGTCAATTCAGCATCTGTGCGGTGCAGGATGCTTCGGTTTTTCCCGCACTGTTTCATACAAAGTTCGGATCAGATCCTGACTTAGCTGCCATGCCTTACTCAAACTCTTCCTGCTAGAAGAGTTCCAGGTTCTTCCCTAAGATAGCCTGGAATGTTATTGCAATATTTATGGAGAGAGACTGATGAAAACTTAAACTAAGGTACCAACAGTAAAAATTCAGAGAAGGAGAGAGACCCATAGAACTGGCTGACATACTCTGGCTTACAGCTTCACGAGTGCTGGACACATTCTAGTGACAGAAACCAAGTCACTGAGAAAGCAACTGCAGGAAGCAGTGCTGTGTTCTACACATGGAATCAGCAAAGGAGGAAAATTATACAACACCCAGGTGAGTCTGTCTCAAGACTTGCACTGTCTTTATACTTCTCACAGTGGTACAATAAATAGGTTAATATGCACTATTTGTTTTTTACAGGCCATATTCCTGAAAATATGCACGCTACTGACCCAGCCAGCCCATTTCAGGAATTCACCCTAAGGAAACATGTTCAAAGATTATGTTACAGAAAGTCTACTACAGCATTGTATACAACAAATATTGAAGAAGAGAAAAAAAAATCCAGCTTTGGGCTTTTAAAGTATAGGGCAGCCACGCAATACCATATTAAAAAGCCACTAAAATGATATAACAAACATTTACTAGCAGAGAAAGATGGACACATCAAACGCTCAGAACAAGCAGCAGACAACAACCTGTGTGTGCACAGGAGCATAAGCCCACTGGTCCACACAGACCTGGGAAAACATCTAGAAGCGGCCCTGTGACACGGTGATCTCAGGTGGGAACAGATCTGTTCTTCTGTGATGTGACGAGGCATTACTTTTAAAGAGAAAAAACAAAACTGACCCTTTGTAACTTTTTTTTTTTAATGAGCCCCACCTTGCGATGCCCTCCCTGGATCTATACCACAGCCTGCCGGGACTGGCCTGACATCTTGTTCTGACCCTTTTCCCACATCACCTCCTTCTCATTTCATCTGAATTTCTGTTCAACTGCCTTTAAAAGATTTGTGACAATGCAACCAGCTGTTCCATCTTACGAGGTTCCCTGGCCCTCACCACACAACGACACAGCGAACAGCAGTGGAGTCTCGCCACCTGAGAGAAACAATCGAGGGGACAAGGCCAGTGCAGCCAGCCCAGGACACCATGCTGGGGCCAAAGCGGCAAAAATCCACATCCCAACTGCCACAGCCAGTGCCGCCAGTGCCACCGCCATCCTGGGGTCTGTCTCCTGGGAGTGAATGAAAGGGCAGGGCACCCCGTTCCCTTGGGAGTCTCAGCCCTAAGCACAAAGTCTGTGATCAGCACATGGATGAGAGGAGTCTTCCCTCATCTCCCTGAGTGTGCTGAGACTCCCACAGCTTCACAAGGGGTCCCAGGTGGACTTTGTTGGGAAGTGTCCACCCCCCACCAAGCAGCAGCACCACCATCCAAGGACTTCTCAGTTCCTAGGCACGACACTAAAACGGGTTTAGACCTCAAGCAGCCTACCAGTTACCTAAAGCACTTTACAGCAAAGATGACGAGAGGGTCAGAAAAGTGCCCACATCACATGGAGGAGGCCCAGCTTGCTTCCCAGACCCTGCTGATGAGACAGACCCGAGTCCCCAAATTCAGTGCCTGAAGGCTGCCTGTGTCTCACCACTCACCCATCCCAATGGCACTGTTTCCAGCATGACTCACAAGCTGGGCAGCAGTAACATCTGCCAGCCTCATCTAGAACTTGCACGTTGGCTGAAGAAACCAACACAGAGCAACAAATCCCACGTCCCACGTGAAGCCACAGCATAAAAGGCCAGCACAGAGGAGCACAAAGGAACCTTGGCATTTCAGTGCAGCCTCTCCCTTTGACCTCCCAGGCACCTTCCAAGTGAGGTAAGGGCAGTACTGGGACCTCACCTCAGCTACCTGAGACCCTGTTAACTATGGACTACAGTAGCCATTTCATAGAAGAGGGAGAAGCACTGAACGCTTCCACAGGATGCCCCAAGGCTTACTGTTGCTCCAGCGCAACTACACTGACTCTCAGGGGGAACCCAAAGGCCTGAGAAGCAGGCAACAATCCAGGAGTCAGGAAGGCCACCTGCCCACTGGGCTGGCTGCTCCCTGAGGCAGAGACTCCATTCCCAAACCAATGCCCTCCAAAGAAGATACGGTGGTGCAATCTGCATTTATGACCACAGTGAAGGTGGCATTAGGGGAACGTGCAGACAGGAACTTTTCCCTGTGGCTCTCTGGATACTCAGACTGGTCTTGTTCCTTGCTACTGGTCAAAGCAAATAATTTTACAAAGTACCACATCACTGGGTGGGAGAAAAATACAGACAAGTTTCCTTTCCCTTAATAGTTCATTCCGTTTCATATTCAAAGTAAAATGAAAAGGATTGCGTGGCAAAATGTTAAAGCTTTAATTTCAAATCACTTTTAATGCCTGTTTCATCTGACAGTGGCTTTGAAAGCCAAAGGCAATCTTTATCATTTGAGGGTTTTAAGGTAAATTGACGTGATTATGTCCAACATAACCAGATGCTTCTAAAAGCCAATTTTCAAAGTGACATCAGCCCCCAAAATAAGAAATTCTTCCTCTGGCTACTAATAAATTATTAAAATGCTACCTCGACAGGAGGATGAGGCTATAGCTTGATAATCTACAGCAAACAGGCTGGTTCTCCCCACCCCACCCCACCTATCTGTGGGTCAGCCCAATGCAGGGTGCAGAGCCCATTGTGGTCACAACCACATGGTCTTTCCTGGTGCCCACCTGCCTCAGGTGATGCAACAATGAATCAGACTAGTTTAAGCTTATCACAGTAATTCCATCTTCTCTGTCAGTACCCAGTCTGGGGCAGGCAGGCAACCCAGTTTTGGCCAATGAGGCATGAGGGGAATATGCTGGCAGTGTGGGTCCTGGAAAATGTCTCTTCCAGAAAAGATATCCAAGAAAGAAGCCTCTCCTTCTGCCTCTCATGTGACACCTAAACCTGGGCAGCACCCTCACAGCCATGAGAGAAACCAGCCTGAGCACCCAGCCGATTATCCGCAGGATCTGCATCCAGAGATTCAACCAAACACAGATCGAAGATACTTGGAAAAATAAAAAATAACAACAATAAAAAAAAATACAAATAAAAAATACAGTGTAATGCATTTGCATTTTACTAGGTATTATAAGTAATCTTGAGATAATTTAAAGTATACAGAAGGATGTATACAGGTTATATGCAAATACTACACCTCTTTATATCAGAGACTTGAGCATCCTCAGGTTGGTGTCCTTGGGGGAGGGGAAGAGTGTCCTGGAATCAATCCCCTGAGGATACTGAGGAATGACTGTAGATATTTGGTCTTTGTCCCTGGTTCCGTAAAATCCTTGAAATTTCCTGAGTGATAGGAGTCTCTTATTATTCACGAAGAGCACCTCTTGATCACACCTGAGTTTAGGCTAATGAGGTAACTTTGGGTGGACCCCCTAGATAGCCTCATGATGGGGCTGGTCAACAGAAAAACCAGCAATTACAGGGTGGGAACTTCCAGCCCCACCCACCCACATCCAGGGAGCAGGCAGGGGGTGCTGGAGACTGAGTTGTAATAACTCTTGAACAAGATTCAGGGAGCTTCCAGGTCAGTGAACACAAGGAGGTGTTGGGAGGGTGGTGCACCTGGAGAAGGCATGGAAACCCAGTGTCCCTCTCCATGACTTGCCCTATGCTTCTCTTCCATTTGACTCTTCCTGAGCTGCATCTTTCATAACAAACCATTAATAGTAAGTACAGAATTCTCCTGAGTTCTCTGAGTCATTCCAGCAAGTTACAGAACCTGAGGAGGGGGTTATGGGGTCCCCTGAATTTGCAGCTCGACAAAAGTGGGCAACCTGGGGACCCAATACTTGTGACTGGCATCTGAAGTGGGGGCAGTCTTGTGGCACCAAGCCCTTAACCTGTGGGGCTGTGCTAACTCTGAGCAGTTAGTGTCAGAACTGAATTGAATCACAGGACATCCCCAGTGGTGTCAAAGCAGGAGAGGTGATGGAAAAGACACCACACGTTTTGTGTCAGGAGGTAGAAAACCTAGATCAAGCCATGCAGTTGCCTACCTCTGCTGGCTATGGAACAGATTTGCTCCCTGCTAAGTGAGATTTTTGCTGTTTGCTGTCTACGGCATCTGGACTGTTGGGATACTCTCTGTAGTCCTTCCTTGAGGGCATGAGTCTACCCACCAGGGACCAAGTTTCTAAACCATGACAAGATCACACAGAACCCACACATGACCAGAAAGATGAGAATGCTCCTGATCCAGAAGAGGCCCCACGCATCAGGAAGCCAACGCACCAGGGACCCAATGGCATTCAGCAGGTTGTCAGAATTACTGCAAGATGGTACCTCAGCTGAGTCTCAGCACCACAGCTTCCACTCTCAAACCCCTGCTGCCTCACCATCTCAGACTAAGGCAGACCAGACGGTGAAGCACATCTACTTCTGAGCGAGCCAGGTAGGCACACTCTCTTACCGGCCCCCAACTCTCCAGGGCCTACCTGCTGTTGATGGCACTGTTCTTGTCCTTCAGGGCAAGCTCTCTCTGCTGCAGCTCAACAACGAACCTGGAAAGATCTTCCGGAGTCCTGAGGGATAAAGAAGACACACTCAGTTCCAGCTGTTGCCTGGATGTGGACCTAATTCTGAATACAAAATAGAAGGCCCAAACAATGTCAGTAGCTGCTGACTGAGAGACCCAGGATGAGTTCATTCCTGTGGCCCCTTTTTCAGGGCAGCGTGCACTCATCACAATCTGGATTCAACCGTAGCCCGCCCACCAGCTCTGCAACACTGGGCAAATTACTTTTACAAGGCTTGATTTTATTTCACCTGTAAAAATAGGGATAATATGTAACCAATAATGTCATTATGCAGAGGAAATGAAATAATGTTTAAAAACACCTACCAAGAGCCTGGCATAAATGAGGAGCCCAGTAAGTTGTATTTTCCTTTCCTCACTTCTCCTTCAATATACCCACATATAACAACAAGAGTTATAATAATGGATCCCCATACATATAATGCTTTATAATTTTCAAAACGACTCCAGATTAACTGTCTCAGTTTACACTCAGAACAGCCCTGTTTTTTATTGTCTCCATTTCTTAAATGAAGAAACAGATATAGGGCCGGCCCGGTGGCGCACTGCTACAGTGCGCTGCTTGGGAAGCACGGTGGCACTCCCGCCGAGGGTTCGGATCCCACGTACAGACCGGTTCCCGCTCACTGGCTGAGCGAGGTGTGGGAGCAACACCGAGGGTTGCGATCCCGTTGCCGGTCCCGGTCCGGTACGGGCGCAACACTGAGGGTTGCGATCCGTTGCCGGACACGAAAAAGGAAAAAAAAAAAAAAAAAAAGAAACAGATATAAAGATGTTAAATGGCAGGTGCAAAGTCCACTCCACTAGTGAGCAGCACGGAGCCTCACTTTGAACTGTATCTTCTAACTCAGCAGAACATGCATCAAGAATTTCTTTGAGAGTTGAAAAGTAATGCCCAGTGGCCATGTGAACATTCCCAGACACACAACACAGAGCATGCAGCTCAAGGCTCTCTCTCTGGCTTGGAATGCAAGTAGCATGTGACCTTGAGGCCTGAGGATCCATCCCTGTTTTTCTCATCACCTATCACCACACCAAACACAGGGCCACACAGAGAGCAGGAACTGGGGTCTATGTTGTGTGAGCTCCATTTAGGGAATGACCACTGCATCAATGAATGAGGGACAGTGACCCCTACACTAGTCGAGGAGGCTGTGACTCCAGCTATACCAATAAGGCAGGCACTCCATGGAAGGACAGTCCTGCACAGAGAGTGAGCGGCCACTGGTCATTAGGCAGCTGAATCCAAGAGGGGTTGTCTAGCCCCAGGTTGATCATGTGAACCCCCTCCCCAAGGCCTCTGCTGAAGTCCGAGATTGCCACTTAACAGTCATATTTTAACCAGGACCCCTAACAGAAGCTACGTCTTGTCACATCCTGCTTAAAACCAAACCTAAGGGCCGGCTTGGTGGCGCACTCAGTAGAGTGCGGCACTCCCGCCGAGGGTTCGGATCCCATATAGAGACTGGTCCGCTCACTGGTTGAGCGCGGTGCAGACGCGACACTGAGGGTTGCGATCCCGTTACCGGTCACAAAAAAAGACAAAAAGGAAAAAAAAAACCAAACCTAAAATTGACATAGTGCGAATCCTAGACTCTGGGCGTCTAGGACCCCTCCTTCATGCAAGCCACATGCTGGCCTTTTCTCTGTCACTTGAACACATCAACCCCATTTGATCCCCAAAACTTTGCATTAGTTAATCCTTTGCTTGGAAAGTTCCTCCTTAGATTTTCCCATGGCCAGCTCCTTCTCAAACTACAGAAAAAGTATCATTTCCTTTAAGATTTCTCTAGTCAAGCCCCAAGTCACTCCCCAACCCCTGGCAACCACCACCCTACTTTCTGTATCTGTGAATTTGACTACTCTAGGTCCCACACACAAGTGGACTCACACAGTATTTGTCCTTTTATAACTAGTGTATCTCACTTAGCATAATGTCCTCAAGGCTCACCCACACTGTAACACAACAGACCTTCCTCCTGAAGACGGAATAATGCTTCACTGCACAGAGAGGCTACTTTCAATTCATCCATTCACCCACGGGTGCACAGTTAAGTTGTTTACACCTTTGACTACTGTGAATAACAGGACTACAAACACAGATATAGGAATATCTCTTTGAGACCCTGTTTTCAATTATTTTGGGTATACACCCAGAAGTGGAATTGCTATATCTTTTAGGAACTGCCATACTATAGTGGCTGCATCATTTTACATTCTCCACAGCATTGTTTACAACATTTAAAAAAAAAAAAAAAGCTTAACAATAGAAAATAAATGAATAAGTCCTCACAGCCATAAGATGGGATCCTATACGCCCATTAAATCTGATGCTAGGCCAAGAGAATTGGCCAGGTAGTTGCCACAGACACCAAAAAACACAGGGGAACATACAAGGGCATACTCAAGTTCTGGTCAGGGCAGTGGGATGCATGTGGTTTCATGGTGTGTGGCATCATACGGGGGGGTGGGGGGGTCTAGTGACCGTGGACCATTTGAATCATCTGGGTAACTCCAGTCTGCCCCACCCCCACCCCAATCCACTGAATCAAAATCCCTCAAGGTGGGACTCAGGATCTGCAAACAAGTTCTTTGGCGATTCTTACACACAACTACTTTTATTTTTTTTTTTTTTTTTTTTTTTTTTGAAAGTTTTTTTTTTTTTTTTTTTTTTTTTTTTTTTGGAAATTTTTCTTTTTTTTTTTTTTTTTTTTTTTTTTTTTTGGAAAATCTTTATTTTTTTTTTTTTTTTTTTTTTATTTTTTTATTTTTTTATTTTTAAAATTTTTATTTTGTCAATATACACTGTATATGATTATTATGGCCCATCACCGACACCTCCCTCCCTCCTCCCTCTCTCCCCTCCCCCCCAAGAATGTCTTTTCCGTTTGCTTACACAACTACTTTTAGAACAACTGATCATTTGCAAAAAAGAGAGGGGAAAAACCTAAGCGGTAAAATGATCATATAACCTGCATGGCAAGTTACTAAAAATAATTCTTTATGCCATCAAGAAAACCATCTACCATACATCTGACAAAGAACATTCTCTAAGGCTCTCTATCAATGTGATGGGCAAATATCAGGTTCCAGAACTTGGTCCAAATCTAAAGAAGAATCCCAGAAGACATGGCAGAGAGATTTACCTATAAAAACTCTGAACACTTGAAATCGTTTCATGGCTTTGGCTACTATTTAAGATTACTAGACTTTGTGCCAATTTGATAGATACTAGAACATCTCCTTCAAAACAATAAGTAATACAATACCAAAAAATACAAATACATAAAAACACGATGGCAAAACTGCTATAAACAGGGATGTTCCAATATACAACTCTAGGGGGTGCAAATTACATTGTTCGTGGAAGTATTTATGATAGACAAAAATCATAATAACTGCAAAACACTGCACATGATGGGACAGATGCCACTGAAAGCACACTATATACATTAGACCCTTTAATCCTTTCAACAGCCCTGTGAGGTAAGAGATATTGTTACTCCCATTTTATATAGATGGGGAAGCTGAGGTACAGAGGAGACAGGCAGCATGCCCAAGTTGCACAGTCAATAACTTGAAGAGTCAGAATGCAAACTTAGGCCTCCTGGTTCAGAGGCTACTCTTAACTCTCATGCCATATGTCCAATATCTTCAGACCACTCATAAATTATGGCACACACACAATGCCATTAAAAGGGCACAGTAGATGGCACTCGAGGGACTACACAAAGCCATTTCCAAGGCCAATACTCTGACCTGGGAAGCAGAGTGAGAGGCCAACACATGCATGCATAGGTACATAATACACTCATGTACACATGTCTTTTCCACACACACTCCCCAAGTCACAGGGGTCTGAGGACTAACCACAAAGACACAGAGGCAAGGATACCCTCCACATCTCGAATGCTCTCGTGCTGTCACTTCTCAGACTAAAGGTCAGCACAGGAGATGCTGTGGAGTGTGCAGATGACTGCACAGGGGTGAGGAAGGGGCAAACCCAAGAGGGTATGCTGACTCTGGGCCACAGAGAGGGTCACTCATTCATTCAAAAGCTTCTAGGTAACATAAGACCCACGAGCAGTGCCCTGGCCAGCACCAGGCACAGGGACAAGCCACTCACATCCTACTGTCCAGAGCACTCTGCCATGAACTGAACTGTGTCTTCCCAAAATTCCTATGCTGAAGCCTTAACACCCAGGGGTATCTGGAGATGGGGCTTCTGGGTTAGGTGGGGTCATGAGGTGAGATTCTCACGATGGTATTAATTCCTTTATAAGAAGAGATACCCAGGGAGCTTGCTTTGAGTCTCTCCTGGCCATGTGAACACACAGTATAAGGCAGCCATCCGCAAGGTAGGAAGAGGGTCCTCACTGGAAGTGACCATGCTAGCCCCTTGACCTTAGACCTCCTGTTTCTGGAACCACGAGAAATTACTGTTCTCAAAGCCCCAGTCTGTGGAGTTTTGTTACAGCAGCTAGAGCCAACTAAGACACTCCTTCCAGCAGGAGGGCCAAATGAGCCAGCCAGTCACACTCAGGAAACAGCTCAGGTACAGACAGTTCGATTCCATTTATCTACCAATCTGCACATACAACCTCATATTTCTAGGTAAGAAGAAGATAAATAAAATATGTGTACTTATATTTATAGAATATAATTTAGAAAGATTTACCCCAAATTTATACCAGTGGTTACCTCCATGTTAAGAGCTAGAATGAGTGGTGGCAATCAAAGGGATTTTTAACTTCATGTGAATTATTTAAATTTCTTATTATGAGTTTAGGCCTTCCGGCTCCGGCGGCGACGCTCGCTCCTCGCTGCAGCCGCGCCGCCGGGGTCAGCCTCCTTCGGGAGACTCCATTTGCTCTTAGTGCGGAGTGGCCGCCGTGCAGGCGGGCTGAGAGTGATGCCCTCGGCTGGCGGACAGACGTCCCCAGCGCCCCGGGGCCGCTCGCTCGCTGGCTGGCTGCGGCGGTGACCCCGGTCGTCGGCTTCCTCGGCAAACCCGGGCTCCCTCCGCGGGGGAGAAGACGTCCGGCGCTCCAGAGCTCGCCCAGCGGGGCGAGGCCCTCGCTAGCACGGCTGCTCTCTGACCTCTTAACCTC